AAATAAAACAATTACTTATTTACATAAATCAATCAAAGCTGAAACATTGAACCAACTAGTTAAAGTATGGTTAAATTAAAAATTTGGTAACCCTGATTAATTCTATCAAATATATTTATCGTATCTATCATTTCTGGATTTTTTTGTGTGAATCTTAACTAGCTTAACAAAGTAACTATTGTAAAAATAATAAAAACCAGCTTATTTAATGTATCTAACATCTTGTCAGGCTCATATGGAAACAAAATGCTTGGTCACATATATCACAATATTGTTTGATGTAACAATTTTTTTTTTAGAGTGTAATGAGAAATGTTAAACAAAAGAGTTGTAAGCTAACTGCAATCTTTCGAAGAGTTTAGCTAAATTTTCCTTATGTTTCTTGATTATACAAATTACCATTCGTTCCAAAGGCGATTGCGCCTTTTAACGCTACATAATTCCATAAATATTTGTCAAAATCGCTGTACCTTTGTAAAGAATTGCGATAAATGTTGAAATTATACAATAAGCCCACCGGTTTGTACATCGTTTCACGCGTTGTATGTAAGTTTAGTCATTCTTCATCCGATATTATTTTCACATATTCGAACAAAAGAACATACCTCTGTTAAAATTATAATAATAGTTATTATTATTATAATGTTCAGGAAATCTACCCAAACAGCCAAAAGAAATATTTTGGCAAATATTTAAACTTTCGATAAAGATGAATATGTGTTATAATTGTTATATTTGATGAATTTTGCATTCACAATGCTATACTGCTATGTGCAGTGTCAGGTTAACATCACGCGAGGACTGCCCAAACCACTTGTCGTTGTTTTTTGATCAGAAGTCCCAAATGGGATCATGTCTCTACCTACAAGATGGCAAATTATCAAACATAATGGTGCCTACATAATTTAGTTCGGAATTTCCAAATAAATTGCGAGGAAACTTTCTCCCCAACTATTATGTTTTAAAGATAGGTGATGGTTCAGTGATAAGCTCGTTCTTTCTGCTACTGTAGAGGTCAAGCACCTTTCGCAATAGTTGGTTACAAGATGGGTGACTAAAAATAAGTTTTCTAGAGCTCTTGCATTGGAAGACTCATGAGTGGGCCCGAGTGGGTTATTTGTTCTGTTGTTACAACCAGTTATAACTATTTAATTTATTCATGCTAAACTTGTGTTATTCATTATGATAATCAGCTGTCACTTATTTCTTTTTTTGTTTATAGAAAACCGCCATCCGGAAGTCGACAGGTGTCACAGTTTTCGCGCTACTCGGACGTAATGTTGCCACCATCCCGTCGCGCTTTCTACCATCCCTACTACGACTACCCAGCACCTGAGTACGTGCCATACGTTTATTGAATTACCAGCTCCACAACGGCTAATCTAACATGGAGCATTCTACCAAGGCTTTAACATTATCATTACAAAATGAGCATATCGATGGCATATCGCTTACTGCTTGGACAAATCGGTCCCTTTGCGAGCTTTGCATTAACCTCACGCAATATTTTTATATTTATAAAATGGAGGACAGACTTTTTACTATGTAGATATTTGATCTCTTTTACCCATGTATTGGAATAAACGCAGTTTTTCTATAGTTTATAAGCGTAGAGTATATTCTCTTGTCCCACTTAGGGTGATTTAAAAAAACTTCCGTGAGGAGACAATAATATTGATAATAAAAATATATATATTATACGTATATTATTAAAATGTATACAATTCGAGCAATTATTACTAACATTGCCGTCAATTCAAAATAATTAACGAATTTGACAATAATGAATAATAAAATAATTTAAAGGAACAGAAAACGAGTAATTCGTACTCGAAGAATTTTATCGACAAATTTGAAATTTATCGGACAATAAATCCTCTTATTGGTGTTTAAAATAATAATTGATGTTTAGCATTATTTAAGGATTTGGAATAAAATGTATCTTAAAATATATAATATTTAACTGTTTTATTTTACTATTAATTTGCAATAAGAATTCGGTAAAATAAGTTTAATTTTATTTACGAGGATGTGTCTGAGCCCGACAGCCTCAATTAAATCTCAACAAAACTCTAATTTTTCGACTTTCTACTGAATGTTTTCCATATTAGATATTTAAGTCTTATTATGTTAATTAGAAAAAATAATATGTTTAGTGTGTTGATATAATGTATTTCTAAGTTTATATGTACTTAATTTATGCATTCCGCTACTCTTGTTTACGCTTTGCAACAAATATATGTAATAATTTAAGCAAAAATCTATATTGTGTGTAAAATGAAGACAATAAAACAAGCAAAACAATACTTTACCTACAGAAATTGTAGCATTTCATCAACAAATATATAAATTGTTGTGATTAGAGCTAAGTGTATGGTTACATGACTGTATTATAATCCAAAAGCCTACAAGACGGCTAAGTCGATTCCGGCTGTGCACGGATGGTGATTATGAGACGTGTTGTTATTTGAATAGGGTGCAAAATGGATCGCGCATCCGGAATCTGACAGAAAATGCTTTAACTATGTTTAAATGTTTCATGTTTATTATATTAGACTAATTATGTGATTAAGTAGCGCGCAAAGCGCTTCTGTATTCATCTATTGGATTATAGGAGTAGGAAGCAGCCTACTTTGGTTGGAATATAGTGTCGCCACCTTCGTATAAACTACCTAGAAGACTAATCACTGCATATATAACTATGAATTTATTGAAACTAATAATAGCAATATTTATTTAAAAACATATTACGGATTATGAAAACAGATTGAAGCTAAAAATGGATTATAATTTTATTTACCAAAAGGTGGCAAGACAAGCAGATACGGGCTGTAATTCTAAGAAAGTTGTTACTATTTGTGTACTATATTTATTATTATATCTAATCAACTATCGACTTAATTAATATCGACATAACTATGTCGACATAACCTTACAGACTATAAAATTTGGCTTTAAAAATTATATTACACATGTATTTTGGCTTTAAGCAAGTCAATGAACTCATTAAATTTCTATTTATTGTAATGGACTAACGTTCCATCCTATATGTTACGATTAGCGAGATATCTATACATATTTTTTATTTATAAATAATTTTCTAACAATATTCGGTAGAGGTTTACAAATTATTTTAATGTCTTTAAAAATCATTGATAGATAAGTAGTTAGTCGATAAAACATTGAGTAGTGATTATTGGACGCGTATTGCAACTTAAAAATAGGTGTTTGATGTAATTGTATGGAGATTTTAATTACATGTAGTTGCGCCATAACATATCTTTGTGATTTGACAAAGAAAAGTATTAATCATATCAGTATTATGTGTAAAGTGTGCACGTTATTTCAAGTGGACGCCTATCGAATGTAAAGTTTAAAAAACTACTAACGTAGAATTGAATTTAGAAACTTGAAACACTGCAGTTGACGCCATTGCTCAAAATCCGTTGTCCTAGATTACTTCGGTCGTGTCAATCATAAAAACTACTTAATGAAAACATTCGATATCGTTGAAAATATTATAACGATAAAAAGATAAGAAATACTCGCTGTTTTTGAATAAACGTGGTGCGATCTTAATATTGACTATAATGTGACAATAAAAGTTTGATCTAAATTCTACTATTAACGTTGAGCCACAAGGTTCACGAGGATCAAACCACGTAGGTACTTTTAGATATACAGTTAACCTATCCTTTATAATTAATGTTTTAAAATGTATATTACTTGGTGTTTTTTTTGGGAAATAAAGATAATTACCTACTCCTGAGCAGAATGATCAATTTATTTGTCGCCTTTGTTGATTAAAATACTACCTATTATTTATTCCGTAATATTTTTACCTTTTTTTTTAAACTTGTAAGACTCATTTAATTAAAACGAAATTAATACATTTCAGACCCGATTTGTTACCATATCCTGAATACTTGTTTTTAGAATTTAGAAAATGACACCTAATTACGACATTTTCAGTCAAAACAAAACAAATACATTTATTCAAACTGGCATTGCACTGACAATCACTTTGAAGAAATATCCCTTAGGTTTTAGTGTTCACTTGTTTTTAGGTTTGTTCATGTCAGGGTACTCCAATTTTCCACCATTGTAATCGGTCACTGGTTTTATGAAAATAAATTAAAGAAAATCTCGGGTATTTTCGTTTATTTATTCCTAGAAGTCATGAGGTAAACAATGCTATAAATTACTTTTCCATAATTATTTACCAATCGGTTCACAATCACAAACATTTTTTCTCAAGGATATCTTCATTTACAGTTTATCTACTTATGTTGGGAGATATACACATAATGACACACTTTATTTCTCAAATTATAATCAAAATTATTATTAAAAAACACTCCTATATTGTGATAATCAATTGGGTATTACTGTATATGATCAAAGGAAAATCTGTTATCATATATGATTACTTAAATTAAAGCTAGATACGTACACTAAAATACATATAAATACGCGATTAAATTATTCATAATAATAATCAAATAGTTTGTGAAAAAGGAAACAAAAGATAGAAAATAAAAAGAGAAACGTAAAATTAGATAACAAAACAAGATAGTTAACAACCGATAATGTAAGATTTTATTGCAGATGATTTGATACAGAGTATTAGCCAATTAATACAAACTTATTGAATAAGGATTAATATGTAAAGTTGAAAAACTATCATTTTATAAAAAGAGGTGTGACTAATTTTTATGGCACGGACTATTTTATAAGCTTTCAATAAAAAAAAAATCTGTAAGATCAAATATAGAACCTCGAAGGCGTACAAGAAAATATAACAGTTTAAACTAATCGTAATTAATTAACTTTATTAAAATGAAGATAATGAGTAGATTGACGATAGGAACAACGGGATAGTTGCTTACACTACAAAAATACTGATAAAGATTAGGACATTTAAGATTTTGGTTATGAAACAAAAATGATTGATAAACAACCATTAATCTAAAACTAAATGGCTTCAGACGGTTGCCAGGAATATTACAGGAATGCAAAAGGTACTTTCAAAAGAAGGACATCGTGACTATATAATACTGTTCAGCCAAAGAGGAATTCAGTAACATAAAAATTACACTTACACATGTTTATGGCATATTTATGGCTACCTCATGAATCACAAACGTTAGCACTCAATTTTCTGTACATCCAATTTGATTTTTTATACATTTATACTTTATCAGTTTAACAATTATAATTTTACTAACATACTGCTTTATATAATAATCTAATCTTATTTACATTGTATTTTTGTTTATAAAATTGACATTTTATTAAATAAGTTTTTTATTTATTAAATATATATGATTTTGTTATCCTAATGCTTGCTTGCACTATTTTCTGATATATAGCCTATCCCATCAGAAACATTACAGTTAATTATCAATGTAAAGTATTGTCACAAGATTAAATCCTTAGGCACAATGTGGTATTCGAATCCCAAGTATTATTGCCTTCTAATTTTTAATTTCCATGAAATCTAAATTAATAATACTATTCGTAAAAATGTCTTTTCTCACGGGGAAGTAATAAATATAAATATTTCTTAACTAATTATCTAATATTGGTCGGGATTTAGGAAATACAAACACTCTCAATATAATTAACATGCACTTTCATATATTATAAGTATACCGTAATTTTAAATTCACTTTGTTCTGAAAATAACTACTTTATTAACATTCTAGATAATTTTTCAAATGAACATTTGTTTCTGTTAGTATACAAATTCAACAATATTTTGGCACTTAAATATTTTTTTGCCACTCAGTCGTCAAGATATTAAAAGTACTTAATAATAAGAAGCACACATTAATATAGTTTTTTGTACAGATGCATTACTGTGTGCACTAGAATACGATTCTAGATTTTTCATTATATATAAGACTATACAATCGAATATGATTATATTAATTACAATACTGTATCCAAGCTTAGCTCAAACCATTAAATAGATATTTGGACAAAACCTTTATCATCAGCTACAGGAACAGATTTCAATGTAATCAGTGGTTTAATTCATTATAATTATGATCATTACGAACATAAGGCACACTTGAGGGACACACATTGCAAATTGTCATGGTTCTTTTGAGCGAATTCTTTTACAGCATCGTATACTGTGAAACAGTCATCCATATAAATCTGAATCAATAAAAAATTAATTTAATATTCTTCAAATATTCCTTTTCATTGCTACAGAAAGTAATCCGTTATGCATTAGGTAATAGGTTGTAAATCGCTTTATGTGTACTTATTATAAGTCGTAACGCATTTATCATACAATTTATATTTGATAAAACGCATAACCGAAACCAAGCACTAATATCACTCGAAACACTTAATTATCCAATACATTATGTCCATTTTTCGTACATGATATATTTATTATAAATATTATATCTGAATTTCTCAGACAGTAGCACTAGTTGATGGACCGTGATTTGCTTCTTGATGTTTGTACTTATGCGAGGTCATTTGAGAAAGACCTAGAACAGCAAATCCACACTGCAAGCAGTGATAATGTGTTTGCTTCTTGCTATGAATGCATTGAGGCTCGTAACCACAACCTGAAATAAAAACAATTGAATTAAAATCAAAATTTATATTTATGATTAAATAAGCTACATTGTAATATAATAAAAGACGTCAGCGGATTCGTAAAAAAACAGTAGATCGCGTCCTGTACAAAGATATTAAGAATTTTAGTTTATGTATGTTTTTTCAATTATTCAGTAAAATAAAAAATATACCTTTGCTGGGTGGGAATTTTTCGAAGCCAGCAGCCTGAATAGAGTCTAACTTCTGATGTTGACGACGGTGTGCAACTACCTTGTTGGTGTCAGTACACACGAACTCACACTTCAGACAATGGAAATGTGACGCTTTATTTTGGCCTGTACCTGTTGAATTAGAAAATAACAAATTATGTATTGAGAGGATTATTCACTACATTTATACAATAGATATAGTTTTGTTAATAATTTACAAAATAGAAATCGCCTTTTCAATTCAAATCGTATTTGAATCCTGTCAAAAGCAATTTCATAATTAGGCATTTTGTTATCAAACTTTGGGTATCCTTATTTAAGGGATTTGATGGTGCAGTGGTTACCGTATTCAATCTGCGATACGGAAGCTAACTTTGCTCTGGTCATAGGGTAGGTGACCAAAATTTTATCAAGAAACTCTTCTGTGCTTTGGTAGCCTACTATGTACATGAAGCTGATGGTTTAGGCTTAATCTGCAGTCGTTTATGCTGTTGATTATTATGTGATTCCATTCGTAGAGAAGGTCTGTGTCCCAGCAGTAGGTTCATTAATAAGCAGATGATGATGATCAATCGAATTGATTCAAAATATTACTTACCAAAAGTAGAAGCATGAGGACATTCGGGTCTTTGGCAATAGACGTTAGCACGATATTGCTGGAAGTCTCCACCCATCAACGTGTCTAACCTGAGAACGAAACAATGTGAATATTATCAATGATATAATAATACATTTTTATTTTATTGATAAAACTTTTTTTTTACCTTTCATGTCTAGCAGTATGCTGAACAAATCTGGTTTTGTCGCAGAATGAATAACCGCAGTCTTTTCTTGTACAATGAAAATGGGTCTGATGTTCCCTGAAAAAATATGCAAAAAAGTTTTTATACACACGCAGCAGTCATTTACAAACAATTAATCGAAAAGTTATCATTTAAGATTTTTTATCATTCAATCTTGACTGAAGACGTACCTGTATCCACAATGCTGATACGCGCAATCTTCATTAAATCTGAACCTAAGATATCCGTCAGGAATCGGCTCGTCTTTCAAAACTCGCATATGAGGTCCACGTGTGGTATGTGTGCGCCTGCTAGTGAAACAGAAAATAATTTAATTTATTAGCCAAAATCAGTCAAAATTTGAACACATGGAGGATAAAGATGGGTGATCAGAAATTTATTGTCTCGATTACTATATTTTTAATTGTTATTTCGATAATTTTTACACTCACGATTTTGCAATGAGTTCAGCTTCCTTATCCATTCCCGGTGGTAGACCATGACCTTGTAACAAGCTTTGTTCAAGAAGCAGCTCTGGTGGGTATAACATCGTTGGGTAGAGAGGGAAAGGAGATCCACTGAAATAATGTGAATTAAAAGATAAATTGTTATTATAAATAGCAACTCAATATACTCGTACTATATATTTGAGCTTGAACTTTTAGTAGCTATCTGTTCAAAAATAGAATTAAATAAAGATCTCATTGAAACTGCTACGTCAATTGGGTAGACTTTATCAAGAATAGTTTTCAGGGCAGTTCAAAGTAGATTTTTTATATTTCCTTAAAAGTGTCCTTGTTTCTATTGTATTTTATAATTTTAAATCGTTGGTCCTATGGTTAAGTTACTTTTATATCAATTTATTAAATGAAGAATAATTTAACTCACCCTTGTGAAAATAAAGCAACTTGTGCAAGTCCTGGTAATCCAGCGAGTGATGCTGTATACTGCTGTTGCATTTTTAACTGATCTTGTAGACTACCTTTACGTCCACCAGCAAGGTATTGCTGTAAAAGCAAACTTTGAACTGCTTGAACCTGTAAGGATAAACAAAAAATGTCATAAGAACTGTTAAAATTATAAAAATAGGGCTTCTTTTGTTAATGATTTCATTATTATGAAGTGTAATGACATACCTGCTCAGCAGGATTAGGCTGACGCTGGCTTGGTGAAGGAGCTTGACTCGTTGAAGCAGAAGATGCTGTTGAAGGTAGTATAGAAATTTCTGGATATTCTCTTTCAAGGGTTTCTTTTGTAGCTGCCAATCCTACTGGTCCAGGATCCATAGTATTACTATGCTTCTTCACCATGTGACTGAATAATAATTTCAAATCAACATAAGCTTGACTACAGTGAGGACAATGATAATGAAGATTCATTCCGCCAGCATTTTTGTTCAATGGACATGTTTGATCATGACATGATGGTGGAATCGTTGGTCCTGACATTTTTGGCGCTTCATATTGTTTCTTTGGATCATAATCGATTCGTAATTTCATGTCCTTAGATGGCGATGCATCGTAAATACTCCTTGGGGATGGAGACGAAGTGTTGCTTCTAAGATGAGATGACGGATAAAAAGTCCCGGCAGCTTTTACTACTGGAAAGAAAAGAAAATTATATAAGTGGATTGTAATTGCATAAGTAATGGATACATATTATTGCATAATATTTAATAATATGTTATTTAAGTTTTAAAAAAATACCCACCCGAAACGTTGTCAGGCTCCCTTTCAAATTCACTTTTTATAGAAAAATTTGTTGGCGTATATGATTCTATAGGTTCTTTCATCGAGCTTACGCTATCAACAGATCCACGTTCTTTTAAAGAATAGTCTTTGGCTTCTTCGTAAGGTTTCTCTTGTTCTTCACTCTTAATAACTGGTGTGCCTCTTCCATGTTTATGAGTTGCTAATGCTGAATATTGTGTTAATATAGCAGGACAGTTGTTCCCTTGTGCGCAGTGAAAGTGAAACCTCAGTTGGTTCTTGAAACAGCTTTTTCCGCCGCAATGATCATATGAAGTAAAGAAATCGAAACCTTCCAACAAAGGACTAACGGAGTGTGATTCCCTCATATGTGTCTCCATGATTATATGAGATTCACCGGCGAAACTGCAATTGAAGCAGTGAAGATGGAGCCGTGTCATTCTTAACTGGCAATTGGGATATGACTGAATACAAGTGTCAGGACTCGTAAATACTTCAAAGTGCTGGAATTTGATACGCTGAAAGTCAAAAGAGGATAATTAGAACAAAATATAACCAATGAACTAAGTTATTTCTATATCTATTTAGATGATATTACTCAGAAATTAGAAATTAACTACTCACGGGAAACTCCTCAACAGTAGTAATTACAGAAGACTGTGATACGGGTGGGAGTTGGTTGCTTTTGGGTAACTTGAACGATGTAAAAATTGCTTGTGGAGTGACCTAAAATAAAGTATTGTAATAAATAAAATTTTCTAATGTTAATAATTTAAATATATGTACGTGTAACAAAATCACAATTTATGCTTACGTTATCCGTCCACACCTCCACAACTCTATTTTTTGGTGGTCTACCACGTTTTCTGCTAAACATCTCATCCAAGGAACTCGATGGATTGATGTGTTGTGGCGCTATTCCTGGATTAGGGCCCAGGTTTAATTGAGCTTGAAGATTGGGCGTCAGCTGAGAGCTAAGACTTGGAGCCATTTGAGCTAATTGCGCTAAGTTCGGTGGGAGATTGGCTAAACTTGGGACTTGCCCTAGTTGCGCTGCCATATTAGGATGTAACTGAGCAGAAAGTTGAGGTGTGAAGTTTGGCGCAAATCTTGCCGCTAAGTTCGGAGACATAGGGCTCAAAATAGCATGCTGTCGGTGATGTTCCAGTCTTCTGAAGGGATGTTCTTCAGAGGAGAGAATAACAGCTCCACAATTTTCCTGGAATTTCATAATAGAAATTAGTGTAAGAATCATTACTATATGTAAAAAAATCAGTAAAAATCGTTGACGTTATTGTGTAAGATAACTTACCCATGTGCAGTGATAGTGCGTGATATCTCTTATATGTTGACAAGCAGAATTTCCACATGGATTATTGCGGGTAAACGTAACAAAATAAGCTTCCGTCACTTGGTTTTGTTGCTCGTGCTCCATTACATGTTTAACCATAGTAGTGTGGCAACTGAAAACAAAAGTTGAAGTAGTAATTATCATAGAAATAACTATTTTTTTAAACAATTTAATGAATATTTATTTGCTTTACCTATGAGCCATTTTACATCCTTCAGCTAGGCAATGATAGTGCTTATTTAAAGCACTGCATTTGCTGCACTTGTCTTCGGCGTTGTTGCCACCATTGTAAGTGTCAATGTACTTGCGTGTAATTTCTTCTACTAATGCAGGATTCTAAAACACATTTCCATTAATCTTTATTTGACTACTTTTTTATATATTTTTGTTTTACCAATTGACTGGCTATCAATTATGACCATGAATTTCTAAATTGGCTGAGTTTTTATTTCTAATTCTGGGACTGGAATTTGTTCGTTAATATTTTCGATACTGTGATACAATGAAGACAATAAAACTTAAGTCGCTAGAGACGTTTTCCACTTACAAATGGATGAGAATAGTCAGGATCTAACATAGAATTTGACATGTCATCATCTCCATGAAGGTTACTGCCAGGCGAGTACATGCTCAGGTCGGCGCCTTGCTGCATAAAAGCACTCTGAATCACCGATGTTGGCAGTCTGCAAGAAAAACAACAATAATAAGTAGTTATTATTATTTACTTATACTCTGACCCATAAGAAATATATAACAGTTTTTTATTTACACATAGCTCTGTTCACGTCAATCCAATGCGACTTTAAGTTCGAGTGAAAAAAACAAAACACTGTATAACTATACAACGCTACATTTTGAATTTTCGAATAGTGTTTTATTTGATTAGCTGGTAATTAAAAAAAAATATGTTATACTCGAATGAAGAATACTAAATCAGAAGATATTATGCTCACAATTTAAATTTGATTTTGGAATCTTTTCGAATGTATTGGCCGTTTATTTACGTTAGTGGATACACTATCCCAATACCATCCTAAAAAAAAATAATATTTTAAATTAAATTCTTTTGATACGTTACCCAAAACTCATCTCCTGTTCCTTCCGTTCATGTTTTCTTTTGTGTGTGAAGATCTGACTGCTAGAGTGCAACACGTAGTTGCAGTGAGGTCTGATGCAGTGGATGTGGTTACAAGTCTTGCTGAACCGACAATCACGGTAAGGACAAGCCTCGTTCTTCATGTACTTCTTGAAACCGTCCTTGGAGAGAGCCTCGTCTTTGATGTGATAAGTTTTGTGTTTCTCTGAAGAATTTAAATTATCTTCATAAATACGGAAAATTTTGTATAGAATTCTGTATTGTTGTTTATAGTTTTTTACTTATTCGTATTTGTTATTAATACTCAGAATTAATAAAATCAGATGTTATGTCCCATACAAGTTTTTATTACCTCGTTTCTCAGAATATCGCTAATATTTATCTCCAAACAAAAAACGTGTTTTATTTACATTAATGTGCGTACAGGATATTTAGTGGTGATGCCATTTTAAAATGTCTGTTTATGATGAATGAATGAAATATGCTTTATTGTACACCAATACAGGACAAAACAATCGAATATTTATATATACTTTACTTTACTTTTAAACAACATCACATAAATTGCTCAGATTCCAAGTTGAGTAGCTAAAACCCCCGTATTATGGAGTATCTGAGACAACAAAGGTACCACAATATCCAGACCCAAGACAATATGGAAAAGTTCATTTTCTACATTGACCTGACCGGGCATCGAACCCGGGACCTCACAGATGGCAAAACCTTGAAACTGACGTGCGAACCACTCGGCTACGGAGGTGTACATCTAGCACAGAGCCATGTACCGATCATATTGATACTGTTTGGTTAAATTCATATTAAACCTAGTGATTAACATGTGAATAATTCTAAAACACTTACCCATATCGGCTTTGTTCTTAAAAGTATATGTGCATCCAGGTCTTCGACAATGGAAATGCGTCGTCCTCTGCCCAGCAAAGATACAGTGAGGTGCTGCACAGCTCTCCGTCGCTCTGAACCTCTGGAAGCCCTCCTGGAGAATGGCACTGTCCTTCCTATGATAGTTTGCATGCATTTGCACGTCTGACGTTGATATGTAAACCTGGAATATGACAAAATCATTGATAGAATTAATCTTGTGAATTTCCATTTAAAATGGCATCTTAATTATGTTTTTATTATTTAAAAAATATGAATTCAAATGTCCGTTTAGGTTTATAATGTCGTCCGCTCATACCACAATAATGTTTATTATTGTAAAAGCTCACGATAATACCTTATAACATTATTTATCACGCACTTCATTTAAAACTAAGTAGGTTATGTTTATAATATTCTTGTCTTCGTCTTCATTAAAAAATCTTTTAAATTTATTTTAAAGCCATTTTTAATTATCAACAATTCCTAATTATAGAGATCAGAGAACTTTAATATAACAAACACATATAAAAACTAATATTATAAGGAAACTACTGGATTAATGTAAATGTTCATCATATGCGAAAGAGATCATTCAAATATAAATATGATTATTTTATAAATGAATTTTAAAAATAAAATAATAAATTTTCGAAACAAATTCGACCACAAAAATCTTGACACGCTAAAAGTCAAACCTAATCATGAATTCGTTAATGATTAATAGCTGTGACTCATCACTCAATAATCACGTGTTCTATCAAATTATATGAGGTAACTTGACATTTAGTTATTCCTTAAAAGTGCTAACAATGGTTGAATCATTCTCAATATCGCAACGATGCATGTATATCATCTAATAATTATAATATATTTGTCGTTGTACTGGTTATTTTTCTTATTTGTCGATTGGAACTTAGAATTAATTGAATTAATTTAGATTCTATTTAAAAATAGAACCCGCTTACTAATTAAATTACGATTTGTTATATGTTTTATTTTAAAGAAAAATCCATAAATCTCTAGAGCTCACTAGTAGCGAAATTAAGAAATGCTTGAAAAATTTGTTAGATAACCTTAGATCTCGGATAGCTCAAGGATTAGAGCCTAAAGGTTACATGTTCATGTCGAGCACGTGGGACTGGTCAATTTATTAAGAATTTTTCTTAAACTCATGGATTCTAAAGTGGTCAGATAAGTTCTCTTTTAAAATATTTACATAGAAGTAACGTTATAAATTTTCCCAATAAGAATCGCGTAAATTTTGGACATGAGGCTAATTGACCTTTTTTTTATCTTTTAAATAAATAGTACATTAATATCTGAGAAATAATGTAGAATTAACAGTATGTCTGCGATAAAAGTTTCGAAGATACGGTGCTTTGTTTGTGGAACTGCTGCTTATCAGTAGAATACGCTCCCAACAAATTCAAGGCACTGAGTGACACAGTGCTACGTATGGACGTCTGAGCAATCTTTGTTATTTATGCGTTTATGTTTATAGCTGTTATAATGAAAGTTGTTACGTTTTATGTAACATATTTAATGCCATATGTATTTCAGTAAATTTTGGTATATATTTTTTTCAAGTTTTCAAAGTATAATATTTTACAAATAAGCGTTATAAAATTTATTTTCTTTAATATTTGTAATTCAAAATGGATAATATTTTGCGAACATATAACAGAAACCTGTATTTTCACTTGTAGGACACAAGCCTATTTCCTGTAGAATGAATGTGAATTTTTATTTAATGTAGATGATAAAAGAAATCGTATTCTGTTCAATACAAATTAATAGAGATACAAGACATACTATCTTAATATATTTTGCCTTATTACTAAACATGTAAACCAAATGGTTAAATGGCGAATTAATCTTCATATTATTTGGTTTACTCTAAACAGTTTTATGTGAACTAAAATTGTAATAACGTTTTTGTCTCCGAAGACCGATATCATTGATATTGAAGAATCTATTAGGTGTTATCGACATCTAGCTTTTAACAACCAGATCAATCATCGCAATATTAGTTATTTTATTTCAACATCTTCAACATGCTCAGGCCTTCCTTATGGATGGTTAAGGAGGATGTTCCATGACCCTACACGCTGCCCCAATACGGATTGGAGGGTATTAACGACTCCAAATGCAGCCAGGACCAACGGCTTAACGTGCCTTCCGAAGCACGGAGTAGCTCGATATAATAATTTTTCGGTCACCCATCCCGTGACCGACCTTTGCGAAAGTTGCTTAACGACAACGATCGCGGGCGGCGGCGCTTATACACTACGCCACCGAGCTATATTTTATTTCAACAATCCGTTATAATTACCTTATCGCAACCATCTTGAATACAATGGTAGTGAGTTTGACTCCGGTTGTGTGGGCAGTCACTGAACCGCTCCGAGCAGTCGTCCAACGGAGAATATCTCATAAAGCCATGAGCTAAAGATTCATCGCGCTTCTTGTGCCACTGCAGAAAAATGTACAAAAATGGAAATAAGCAAAAAGTATCTAATATTAAATAATTATAAATATAATAATTGGAACAAATATTCATCTTTATCGAAAGTATTTGTAAAAATATTTCTTCCGGCTGTTTGGGTGGATTGCCTTAACATTAATGAAAATACGCTCGGTAGTAGCGAAAAGTAACAAGGGTTTAAAAATTCAACAGTCCCGTCTGAAACTTCTCTTCCAACTGAACTTTTAGAGACTACGCAACTGCCAACTAAACCTAGACTTTTTAGCAAATAAAGAAAAAACAAACTTTAAGAAATAAAGAAAAAAAAGATTTTAAATAAACCCTTGAAAAGAAGAAAATAAAATTTTCTTTTTAAATATTAACTACTGACTTATAACCTCATAATACACAATTTATATGATCATAAAAGCTTGTCGCGAGGTTTAAGTACCTATCAATATTAAATTAAATAAAAAATATGAAAATTAAATTTTGTAGATTTTACATACTTGAATTAGTACTAGTTTATTTACACAAGTAAAACGTTCGACAAGCTTTTATGATCATATAAATTATGTATAATGAGGTTATAAGTTGGTAGTAAAAATTTAACACGAATATTTAGAAGAAAAGCTTTTTAATAAGTTTCTTTTTTGCTTTAAATTTATTTTTTATTTATCACTGGCTAGGTTCCTCAGTCTGTTCATCTCATTCAATGCATCATTGTTGCAAGGTCATTTGCCGCATTTTAAAGCATAAAAACTTAAATAGTGCGCCATATTGGATTTATAATAAAGTTTTTTAAGTTACTCTCAACAAGCCCTTTCATTTGATATCTATTTATTGTAGAAATAGATTAAAAAAAACTAATAATAAATATTATGATTAAAATAGATCTCCAAATATCACTTACGCTCAATAATGCGAAGCGAGTTAGGACTACGAACCTTAAAATGCCTGATCATCTCTTCCTTTTTGCAGAATACCCTAGCTGTGCAGTCCATACAGTGAAAATGTTCCCGATAGCCAAGGTCTTTGCAGTATGAAGAACCACATTCCAAAGTTGAGCTATACCTGAGAAAACAGATATTAGCCATACTTAGTTAGAGACAGAAAAATCTGGTCTGGACAGAAAAGTCTGGTTGATTATGATTTTAATATTATTACATTTAATTATTATCATCGTAAAAGTAATAATAGCGTGAAATACACCATAATATGCCGTAAATATTTTCAGTTGACACAATATGAATATTCTCATTGTGTAATGATCACACCACCAAATGTGTGCTTAATTATCATACAACTGTCCATTTTTTATGAAGAATCAAATGCGATAAAGACACTAGTTAATTACTAAAACAGAGACGAAGAATTGAGCCTTATATATAATAAAAGCTTAAATAAAGATATTAATCATGTTATATCTATTGTCAACAAGTGGATTTAAACGAATCGTATAATTAAAGGTAACACTGAACTAATCTATAGTAACATTCCAAATCATAAAAAAAAACTAGTTACCATACAAGCATTGTGTTGTTAAAATTGCAAAAGAATTGAACCGGATAAATTCAAAAACGTTGTTATGAAAAATTGTCTTACTGGCGTGGCGGGTATTTTTTGCTCGTTGTTTTTAGAATTGTTTGAAATAAGAATTATTATTATAAATACATTTACCAATATGCTCTTAAGATCTTATAAGATAAAAAAAAACACTTCAATCTATTAAGATAAACCGCCTTAGTTTCAAGATTTACCTTTTGACATATCTAGAGTAATCAACTGTGGTCTGAAGAGAATTCTTCCGAGCTTGATCCAAATGATTCAGCGCAGACAGTAGACCTACAAAAAACATAATACAACTTAATACAAAAAACTGTATTATGCTAATAGCCAAAACAATCACAGCTAACGATACATTCACCCATTCCTTTTCCGTCAAAGTTATTCTTTTGTTTGGAACAGCCAAATCACTTCCATGCATCATATTCTTCGAACAATATACTGTTTTCATCGCGTCAAAAATACACGATACCATTGAGTCTGTATCAATAATAACGCTCGCGTTTACGTTTCCAACTCTATCTTCAAGTGTTTCCGCTTCGAATAGAACTTTAACGTCTCGCGGGTTGAGTAACCGGCCCCTCCCCGTATCAAGTTTTGGAGTATCAAATAAATTATTATGGTAATTAATCAATGTTTTCTCCTAGTCACTGCGGCGCTCCATTGTGAGTGATCGTTGACTCTGTATGTAGTACACAGAATCACGAAAGTGCTTTTGTGTTCAGAATCCTTTTTGTTCTTTTTTTATTTATTTTAAAACTAATATCAGATAAGTCAAGTAAATTTCTGACACAAAAAACTTATTTTAAAATTGAAGAAATTTTAGTAATGAGAAATTAAGTATTCTAAATATACAACGTAATATTTCTTTAATCAATATAGCTCTCTTCTGAATTTATTTACAGTGGTTATAATATTTAAATTAAAAAAGAGTTAAGAATTTAATAATAGTGTTACATGTAAATGACTTGTGTGCACAACATTACATTCGTTGATAAAAACAGACGTACAAAACATGTGTTGCATCTTATTGTATTGAAAAATTTAGATTATCCGCGTGTGCGTACAGTCCTCTGAGACTATAAAACGGTGTTAGTTAGACAGCATTTCGAAACACCACCTCTGCGTTTTTTACAAAATCGCTTTTGAAAGACGAATTAATACCTATACTTATGTAGATTAGCGTTCACAGCACAATGGATGTTAACATACGTCTTGATAATTTGGTATTACATAAGTCGTGCATGAATACTCGTGATTGTAATAATAGGAGAGGTTTAGAGAGTTATTATTAATGAACTACAGAGATCACTTGTTTCTCTAGCATGTTCAAAACGCGTTAATGGCTCACGATTTTTTTCAGACGATTGTGCGAAATTGATACCGAAATTAGTATTGTTAGACATCGATAAATCGGTATGATCGGGTTTATTACCTCTAATTTATGGAGATCGGAGATAAGGAATGAGAGCACTTGACGAAACGTGAAACCAGTTTGTCCGTACAGTTTTAATTCTCACGAAGTTTTATTTACGACCAACACTAGCTTGTTACTTTTTTTCTATAAAATATATCTAATTGTTAAAAATAAAGTAGCGTCTGTTCTATATTCAAAATTTTCGAATTTCGAATTCCAAATAAACAGTTGACTAATATTCGCATTAAACTTATTATTTAGAATTAGAACGTTTGAAAAGGAGATACGGAATTCATTGGCATCGAAAAAGAAAAAGACAATGGATGTGAGGTTCGGACCGAATCAGATAATGTTCAACATAATATGCATTTATAATGCGATGGTGGTTTTTTAGGAAATTTCGTAAGATATTGTGCCGGTTCATTCAGCCGAAACAATGGGGTCCTCATAATGGGTTTTTGAACTCGTTCAATGGAACCTTGTGATCGACGAAAGTTCCTTACGTATGGGGATTTATGATTCAGAGAAACAGGGTGTGCGACTTCCTCTCTCTCCGATGTTTAGTAAACAATACGGTACTTAGTTTGGCTGGCGTTGAGCAATCATATTGATACTGGTTTTTGATAAAAAACAACATCTACACTATTTAAATTAAGACCGCCTTAAAGTGTAATGAACGAGTTAACAGCATCCGTATAAAAAATAACATTCCTACTTTTAAAATCAATTTCCTCTATTTTATTGATAGTTTCTACTAATCAACCAAATGCTGTAAAATTGTTTTGACGGTTGTAATTAATTTTAAGTTAATTATGTTCTAATAAAAGGGTAGATACGCAAGAACTTTTTATATAAATTATAGACTAGAAAGACAAGTAAATACGGTTATACAATTTCACACGACAGATTTGCTTGGTCCTCAATTCAATGACCATTTAAAGTATTACTTGGTAATGTTATAATCCTTGTCTGGCATTTCATTCGATGGAAATGTCAGTAAGATTGTATTACTTTTTTTCGTACGAACAAATAACAGTTCTGTACTAAGGCGAAGTTAAATGTCACTAAAGATTTAGATAACTCGATTGGAATGACTCAGGAATGTGCTACCGTTAACAGTTACTAGCGAAAAGTAATATTTTTCGACGAAGCTGTTTACTTTTGACTGTGAAATGCCAATGCAACGACCGCTATAATAGATAAGCTTGACAATGAGTTACTGCATCTACGATCCATCAAAATCGGAGCAATACATAACAAGAGTTCAATAACTGCATCGATCCCAAGCTTCAACACTCGTCCTCCATCTAAATTGACATTTACTCAATGCAAGTATCTCTAAAATGTAAATGCGGTTACTACACACACCAATTCAAGTACAAACTTTAAATTTGCTGTTGCTGTGAAAATAACTTAAGCAATAATAAATCTTATACCAACGGAACAAGGAAAAAAGTAATTTTAACAGCAGCAAACATTAATGGTTGCTAGACATGTATGCCCAATGTAACTTGATATGTAATGCTGATTGCTTTATTAATGATTTTTATTGAAATGAGGGCTCTGATCTCGCTGGTATTCTCTGAAGGAGGCTGTGTATCGTATCGAGGAGGTAATGAGGCGGGGCAATGGGTGTATGTACGGACAAAGATCTAGCTATTGACACATAGCTTATAAGTATCTACTTAGAATTGTTAAGCTTATTAACAAATTTCAAACTCGTTGAAGTTACTTCGATGTAGAAAAAATGATTCGTCATCATCAAAATCCAACTAAATGTGTATAAACATAGAACACGTGTTATCCTTATATACTGAATAGTGAATACCATTACAGATATGAAGGTTCCTGCATATCTAATTGAGTTAAAATTGAATCTCATTCTTCATTTATACGGACACCGAATAAGATGAATCATATTTCTTCCATTCCATGTTCATTGCGTCAATGTATGTGATGTCCAATATAGTTTTACTGTTGAAAATTAAATATATAGTACCACAAAAGCTCTATGACGTTGCGTTAAGACTGTGAATGTAACGAGAAATCTTATAGATGAAGGCAAATTTCGGTTGTATCTCTGTACATACTTTTTATTACAATATTTCGTTTTAAGATACACCGATAAGGAGGTACGTGTCTAGTTTTATTTTTCCATCGATCGATTAGGCATTGTTGTTACGAGATTGGGAATATGTTTTTAACGTTTTCCCTTATAGATAGCAGTGTATTAGATATTGTTATTTCCATTTCTGGTGTGAGATCTTTTTGTTGTTTATTTTTAGCATCGAAATAGGTTTCTGTTGTATTTTTTTCCCCGTCTTCTTTTGTAAGGTTCTCACACTAACATCATTTGAAATTATCACAAACAGTATTTCTGTTCAAAATATTTTGAGTTCCGCAAGTTTCTACCTGAGACCATATTTATTCTTCAACTAGATTAATTGCTGTATTGATAACGGTAAAGTTTTCTGTAAACCAATCTACGAATTGCCTACGGATATGTTTGCCATGTAATTATACATTGTGTACAATGCTGTATGTGCATTAATTAATCGGCAATATGATTTGAGACGTTTACACGCAGCACGGGCGGCCGTACCTCAGTCGGCGGATGAAAGAGCGCAGATAATTATGAACGTACGCATGCGTAGATCAAATCGGGATCCATCGATCGATAAGGGATCTAGATATGTTGCCGATCGTTCGTTAGTTACGTGTGATGGCAACTGGATGTTGATTCTATTTTGTTATTTACTGTAAAGGAATTTGTGCTATCTTTTTGACTGAATTAGATTAATAACTTGTTGTCTAATAAATTTATTCGGTTGGGACTACGATATAATCTATCACTAATAAGTCAAAGGCTATGACATTTTCAACAACAGTTAATATTGTAATTTCAATAAAGAATCATTAAAAATATCAACGCTGAAAATTACTTTTTGTTTAGGTTCAAAAACACTAATTAGATATAATTAAAGACATTAGTCCCTATCAACTCTAAGACCATAGCGATTATCCACAACATATAATGGAGCAATGGCTGTAAATCTTCGTCTTTGTTCGGATATCTCCGTCTGTCCCTCCCCTTGCGCTTGCGCCGATTGGAGTAAATGATTCCGCATGATCTTGTTTAGTTTTTGCTCTGTTTACTCTGTCTCACATGATAGACGAGTTTTGTTTTCTTTTGTTGATACACTCGGTACCGTCGGTAGTCAATTAGGGGCTCAGACGAATGACAAAAAGTATTTATGTTGTGACGGTTATGGCCGAACGAAATTATTCCTTTGCGTGATATTTAAATCGTGGAATGTAAAGATTGATTATTCGATTATTGAAGGTTGTACATGTATTATTATGAGCTAACAGGTATTTCTTTATAATAATATTAATATATTGTCCTTTGCAAATAGCTATTAATAATGTTGTGTAAAAATTTAAGGACATAAATAAGATAACTGAATTAATATTAAGACTTAGACCTTCGAATCTACCGTAGCATCATCCATGATAACTTTAAGATTGTTTCTTACATTTAAAAAAAAAAAATAAGAACAACAGGGTACGTTGATTGATAAGTCTACGGCTACCTCGACATTGGCTGCGTATCGATTATCGATTAATGCGGCGATAATCGATACTTTTGTTCGTCTCGACATTCAAGTTTTTTACTCTTTGTGGGCAGGTGATCTCGATACTTTCGATTACTTTAGTTACTCCATTACCACAATGCTTTTTAAAAGCGTTTAATTATTATCTATAAATAATAATTAGCCGAAAACGTGCTGAACTAAATATCAGCTAGATAATTTTAAAACATTCGTGCAAAAGGCACAAAATATGAATATGTACTCAATAA